TTTATTGATGTTAATGTTGGAAGACTTCTGTAATATATTAAACACTGTGAATGTAATTACTTCTGAATAACTGCTAACTAACCTGAAGTAATATAAAGAAAATGAGACTAAAAATCTCACACATATGACAATTTCCCTATTTGTTCTAGTAAAGGAAATGTACCAGAGTGTGTATGTGTGTGTGTGTGTGTGTGTGTGTGTGTGTGTGTAGGACTAAAAACAGTAAAAATAGCTTTGTGTTCATTTTCAATTCTGTTCTGAATTATGTAATAAGTATTTACTAAGGGCCTATAATTTGGAAAGCTTTGATAAACATAGCAGTTATGAACAAAGCTGACATTCAACCAACTGTGCTCTGCTTTTTAAAATATTGCAGCAGTTGTTTTTTGTTTTACATTGGCAAATACTCAGTTGTTTGAGCTTGACCGCATTGTAGCCCCTGCTGGTCTAGCCATCACAGCCCATTCCCCAGGACCCTCTGCCCTCCCAACAATCCAGCAGTAATTAAAGGGTTAACAGGTGAAGCATCAGGACCCTGATTATCTGTCCTGATCCCAGTGGTGGGATACAGGTTTGTTGATTATTTTCAATTTTGCCACTATATCTAAAGGAGTATATGATATGGCTCTTGCCTCCCAGCAATTCATATTTGATGATGGAAATAGATATCCATAAGTAATCTCAATCAAGGTGCATTCTGATACATTGATGGTTTAATCATGGCATTGGGGAGCATAGTGGAAGGAAATATTAATCCCAATAGCAAGAACAGTGAACATCTGAGAGGGCTTCATGGGGGATAATAGATGTGATCTGGACCTCAAGGAATGAACTGGGATTTATCAGTCAATATGGGTGGGGAAATGTTTTAGCAGAAGAAACAACTTTATTGAAAAAAACAGAAGAGATAGTTTCTCTAGATTAAAAAAAAATGGATTTGTTTGGAGTGTTTGAGTGTTGTAGGGAATACAGAATGACATACACTTAGACATCCATGCAGAAGTAGGGAAGAGTTTTGTTGTGTTGGGAGCCATGATGGTTTTTGAGGAGGCACGAGGCATGGATCAGCAGAGTTTAAAGAAGAGAAATTCAGAGGGAATACATAAGACAGATAGGAGGGTTTACATAGATCTGGTGGATCATTTAGGAGTCATTGGCAATATTCCAGGTAGTATCTGAGAGGTAAGTACCGGTAGAAATCTGGGGGAACAGGGAAGTAAGATGCTGAAGGCACAAAGCCAATGAACTGTAAGCCAGCTATCAGATTACTGCTGAATATTGAGAGACCTAACTAAGGACTTTAAAGAGAATTGTCACACTTAAGTCATACTGGAGGGCACTGATATTTATTCAGTAATTCCTATCCACGATTGATTGAAGTTTGCTTATTTATTTATTTATTTATATTGTTATTTTTACATTTAATCACTGTATATCATTACAGAATACAAAATGAGT